GAAAAGACAGAAAGAAAAGGACAAGGAATACAGAAAAAAATGTTCGTTGATGTCCCATCGGTTGGCTGCCACCGTCATCTTTTTCTTTTTATTCTTTATCGTTAATCGCATACGAATGAGCGAAAGTAGCTAAATTTTTTTGTTGTTCTTCCTGCAAAATAGAGAAAACCCATTCGATTTTTATTCCTAATAAGTATTACGTTTTATTCCTATCTTATATTGGAAATTATTTCTGTTTATGTGTATGTGTTTTGTATTGTAAAAGTGACGTTTAAAATTGGAATGCATAATTTCGAGGGGACGATTTCTAAATGGGAAAAGGAACTTAAGAAAATATGAATAATCTTATTAATATAAATCATTATATTGTATTATTGTTGATTTATATTCTTTGTTCGCGAGAATGATTACATGAAACAAACGATCCGTGTCGGCAGATCTATATCAATCTTTGGAAGTAGACATAGTAGACATCAAACAAAGATAACACACACCAGTCGTGCTCGAACAACTCTGGAATTTGGTATTCGGGGTGGCTATCTCTTCACAATCTTCAGATCTTGCATTCCATTGTATATCGACAGTTTATTTCTTAATGTTATCCCGTTCTCTTTCATTTCTTTTCTCATTTCGATTATTTTTACTATCGATAATCATAAATTAATATTCTAAAAATTCGAAAAATTTTCCAAACAATTTGACAACACGTTTTGTCGGATTAAAAAATTGTGTCAGTAATAATCGGTAAATAAAATGAAGAAATTTCTATGATACGTGTGTGTGGATTGAGGGGTGGGGGACAGGGGGAGGGGTATATTTCCGTGGATCGATAATCGATCAAAGGGCACTTATAGTCCTAGAAGACGAAAAAAAAAATAGAAAAGAAGATTAAGTTGGCATAGTGTTCAATGGTAGCCGCCGGCATGTTCAGCAGACACCGAAAAAGATTAGGCACGAAAAATATATATTGTACAAGCCCCAAGTGTTCACTGCTAGGATATAATCTTTTCTGTTATATTATTTTCAAAATTGTCGCGTATCTATCGTTTATCTTATCTTCATCGTAAATGGCACGAACTATTTATTCGCCCATAAAAATACATCATCGTTGTTTTCTTTATTTAATAATTAAATATGTTTTACCAGCACACCCGATCATTCGGAATTTTCCTACGTGATTTTCATTATTTAAAACGTATTACTGGTATCATATTTTTGCTTACAAATGTGTGATCGAATCTGAAATGGAAGTATAAGTAACGTTTATAATTAAAATTTGTAATTATTTTTGAAAAAACAATGACAATCTAGAAAAGGATACAATCAGTTCTCAATTTACGATAGGGATTTGATTTCACAACTTTTTTCGGACGTAAGTCGAATTTCATACAAAGATAAATTATGTAATATAATAGACATATATATATTTTATTGACGTATCCTGTGTGAGTGAAAAAGTACACCTATAAAATAGTTAAATACATTAATTGTACATTAATTGTACATTTATTTCAAATAATAAAATCTTTCATTTTGTAAGATTATTCTAACATCAAACCAGACATTATCAAGTTAATAATTATGCATTTATATTGAATTAAAAAGTGTTACTAATATCAATTTCCTTAGAATCAACTCGAGTATCCTGTTTCTCATAATGCATTATTAAATCAACCGGAAATTTCTGTCTCAGTTTTTAGTATAAAACAAAAATAATAATAATAATCAACATATCTTATCTCGAATAATAATAATAATATAATTAGCCATAATATTTTCAATGTATAATAAAAACAGAAAATGTGTTAGGAAGTTCGAATAAGAAAATATGTGAGGATGGGTCCCATGATGGGATTTTCTATTCGTTTTCTTGGGATCCGTTGTTCAAGGACTCACGCGTTTCGGTGGATGGACAGGAAGGGCATTTAAGAAGAGTATCCACGAGGTAGTCAGCCAGCCCCATGAAGAGAAGAGAACGTCAGTAGGATAGTCACCGAGGATGACGTTGCATCGACGTTCTGGGCGGGTAGCTCATCAGACTTCTCGACGTTTCTGTCCTTCCTTCTCTTTTACAGCATCCTTCGTTGGTTCGTTGGTTGGTTGGTTGGTTGGTTCGTTGGTTGGATTCGTCTTCTTCTTCTTTTTCTTTATGGTTTTCTTGTTCTTCTTCTTTTCTCCTAAGAGGAGTCGTCCCTACTATCTCTTATCCTCAACCTTTTGGTTCTTCCTCCGCGAAGATCGCATTGTTCCAGCGAGTTCTACCTTTGTGAGGACCACAACGCCGCCTTCGAGAAGAAGGAAGGCCCAATAATACATGGGAGAAGAAGAAGAAGAAGAAGAAGAAGGGCCTTCTCGGTCCCGATCGAAAGCGGACAGATCGATACGAGACGCCGTTCGCGAGTGTTCATAGCATCGGAACAAAGAAGAATCATCTTTCTTCCTTTCTTCCTTTCTTTCTTTCTTTATTTATTTCACAAGCTTATATATTCTTTTCTTTGGTTATATTATAGTATGGGGTTTCGTCGGCAGTCATTGTCAGATATTTTTGAGATTGTTTTAATTATGTGAACAGAAATGTATCTTCTGATAGATGATGTCTTTTCGAAAATTATAGGAGAATTCTTTGTATTATTTCAATAATATTAATAAGATTTTATGGTGTTAAGTATTATGTGGGAAGGAAGTTAGGTTTTAGGGGAAAGCACTTATAGATATATAGAATTGTTTATTTATTTATTTTACGGAATAATTATATTCTTTTCTATGGTTATATTATTGTATAGTTTCTTCGAGAACCATTGTCAGATGATACTTTTGAGATTGTTTTAATTCTGTAAACAGAAATGTATCTTCTGATAGATGATGTCTCTTTTCTAAAATTATAGGGGAATTCTTTTTATTATTTAAATAATTAATAAAATTACCATCGTTAAAAAAAGTATCGTCAAAATAAATCCTCAGCATTCTTCTTCTTCTTTTTAGCATTTCACAAACGCGTGACTCGGACGAATTTTTAATTCGCAACTTCTCGTAAAGATCTAAATGATTTCGCATTCGTCTAGGCGACAGGCTCCATTAAAATCGGCTCCGTTACGAAATGGACTTAGTATCGATCCCCCCTTCCACCCCCATACCTTCCCCACTCTTTCTATCTTCTCAAACCCACGCAAAATAAAAGAAACATAAAGATAAGGAGACACGAAGTTTCTACCAGCCAGGAAAAGTAAGTTTGATCAAAAGAAGCTCAGGAAGATGAGGTTGTGGGGTTGCAGGGGGTTGAAAGTTGGGAGTGGGGTAAGAAAAGAAAGAAGAAACGAAGGAATGAGAAGTGGGATCTCGAAAACAACGCTTAACTTCCATCCCCATTCCACTTTTCTATCGAAACCTAAGCATAACCCCAACTACTATGGGGTGAGTTGGGTTGGTGGGTAGGGGTAACCCTCCTAAAATGTATTCATAAAACCATCAAAATGGCTAGCGTTCATTTGTTCGCACGATGCATCCATCCATCCATCCATCCATCGACGGGGGGCAGAGGCAGGGGTTGGGGGGGTGGTTCAAGCAAGATGATAGATGTATACAGCATCCCTCGACATGAAACAGGAAGTGGGGGAGCACCCTCGATCGTTTCGAGAGCAGCGACCGATGTGATGGTAGAATGGGAAACCCTGGTTGGTCCTGCCAGGATTTAACTGATGTGAAAAAGAGAGAAAGAGAGAGAGAAAGGGAGAGAAATACGCAACGGCTCCAAGAGATTGGAGCATCCTAGTTGGGGGTAGGCGGGGTACCGGGGGGTTGAATTCGAAGGGTCGTATTAATGGTCCTGGAAATTGAAAACGCGTCTGGCAAACCAAAGTGGGTTGGCCTCTCTTCCTTTCTCTCCTTCCCCAAATCCCCCAAGGCCCCCCCTCCCTTCATTCCCCTTTTCTATCCACCACCTCTATCTATCTTCCGTCCTGTTCTTGCCACGATTGTTTTCACTGGCTGAAATATATATCCGAACAAAATGGCGTATCTCTCGAAGGGTTTCCACTTTGTATTAATCTGCTCTCTCGTATATACAGATCACAAAATTATATTTTAAAAAAATATTCTATATATATATTATTATTATATAAGCATCGTGTTTTACTCATTACTGTTTTGAGTGGAAAACATTCGTTGGAATAAATTTTGTTATAGGCTTAATTAATAATAAAAGAAAATGATTTAATGTTAATTTAAAGTGTTTGAAGTTTAAATTTGTAATTTAGCTGAATTGAATTGAATTGTATATATATTATTAATTTGTTAATTTAATTGTATACTATACTGCTCTTGTATTTAGTTGTCCTTAAGATAATGAAAATTCCAGGGATCCAAAATCTAATCTCGACAAACAAATAAACAATATATATTATATTTATTCAAATATATTTTTAATATTAATAAATATAAATGAATTGAATTTGTATACAATAGAGAAAAGATTAATATAAATTATTATACATCGTATCAGGATGTTAATAAAATCGGATATAGATTGACTAATATTATAGATAAAGTCTTTTTCAATGTGAATTGATATTAAAGTGCCAATAACAAGGATGATGGGAGTAGTATCGGTTGGGTGTATCGTATGCAAGGTAGGTTATGGGGTTTGTGTCGAGATACAAATGCTTCACGGAACGATGACTCGCTTTGATCATCCTCGTTGTATTCCTCGTATTCGTAATCGTTGTCGTCGTCGTCACCATCACCAATACCATCACAATCAACCATCACCATAGTAGTAGGATTTAATACACGATTGCAGTTCGATGTCCATACCGAACATTGATTTCATATTTATTCCATGTGATCGAGGTGAGTTTGATACGCTAAATACACACATACACATACATGCAGAAACACGTATTCTTAGAGACAGACAGACAGACAGACAGACCTCGTTCCGATTCGAGTAAAACGATTGTGTATGGTGTATATGGGAACTCGTAACAGTTTCTTAATTGAGAGCTATGCCAGTGAGAATACTGCTGGCCCTTCTTCTGCACCGATGACAGGACCTCCTTTGTCGCGTTCAACGAAAAGAGGACGCAATGTATACCCCATAGAAAAAAAAAAAGGATGATGATGATGATGATGATGCTGCGAGTTCGAATCGATGACCGTGAAAAGTCATCGCGAGTTATCGAACCGTTGCCTTATTTCTCCTCTTTCTCTCTCTTTTTATTTATTTTTTCTTCTTCTTCTTTTTTTTCCCCATTGTCGTTTGCTTTGACGGTGAGAAGGTGGGGCGGGGGAAGACAAAAAGAAATATATTTTATTCAATAACAATATTATATCATCGGAAATAATTATTGTCAATCGGAATCAGCGATAATTCGTTCGTTTTGGAATTTTTTTTAAATCCATTCCCATATAAAAATGTGTAAACAATTTTTATTAACAAAATAAAACATTGAAACAACAATAAATCTTTGAATTATCGAGAATGAATTCCAAACGCGTTAGATTGGCTTCGTGAAAAGTCTAAAAAAAGGAATGATGGTGAATAAGAGGGACACACAAAAGGGGAAGGAGAAGAAGGGTGTAAAAAGGAAAGGGATAAGGGCAGGGAAGGGAAGGAGAGGGGGTCGTGTTCGTGGATATCGAACTTTGTATTCATAACACTGAGGCCGAAATAACGCGGCACTCAACGGACGATACATCACGCGGAATGAAAAAGAAATGAAAAAAGAACAGAATGAGATGGAACCATGGGGTTTGAGGGGTGGAAAGGGGGAAGGGGGAGGGGCTTATATATATATATATATATATATAGAAAGAGAGAGAGAGAGAAAAAAGGGTGAATAAAAAAAAAAAGAAAAGAGAGAAAGAGAAGTTGAACGCGCGTGGTTGTTGTTGGATGGCCACTATCAGAGGTTCTCTATGATTAATGATCATAGTATAATGCTGTTTTCATTAAACTCATTTCAGTGCAGCACGTATATAACGTTGCCATGATCGACCTTTGGTTCAGGGCAACAACGTGCGCCCTTAGCTCATTTCTCGACAGTTGCCTCTGCACGCTTGGGACTTGATTATGACGTCTATATGAAAATCGGCCTTGAATACTCTTCCCCCCTTCTCCCCTACACCTACCACCATAGACCTCTCTTTCTATCTTTCGTCTCTTTTCTTGTTCTTTTTTTACTGGCAGGTTTCTTCTAATTTTTTGTTGATATTGTCGTTTATAGTTGCAGGATTACTACCACCATCATGGTTGTATTGATTCAATGATAATTATCTCACGATCTGTCTATTTTCCTTCGTTTCGTAATTTATAAAATGTTGTTTTAAAAAGAGAGAGAGAGAGAGAGAGATATTTTATTTCGATAATTAAAATAAATAAAATGTCAACCACATTGTATTGATGGTGTAAATTTTTAATCGCTCGTTCACTTTTTGATTGACCGATATAAAATGAAAGAGTAAAAAAAAATGTAGATTAATTATACCACGGTAATCGTTTATTATACCGGTTCTCTTCCTTCTATCCTCATTTTCCAGATAATTTAACGAGTTTGTATAGTATGTGGTATGTAGATATATAGATATACATTTAATAAGGATACACCTATAGCTAGCTAACCTTGCTATACCCTGTGCGAACCAATGTCCATGGTTAATACGATAATCCTCAATTTTTATACACTTCATTTTTAATCCTTTACGAATGATTACTCCTCCCACGTGCCCAGGACTATATGATTTTTTATTAGAAGATACCATTATTTATAGGATGATCCAGAGGGGGTTGAGGTAAAACATCAGGATGATGATGATCCTTGGGCAGGACGCAATTACACCGTGGATCTCGAAACTGGTGAGTCGGTATACGATTTTTCTTGATTTTCTAAATGTCATTTGAATTTCTTTTTTTCATGTTCATTTACTTTCTTTTTAGTTTTACATAATGGTATTACTCCTGATGAATCGACACGTTACATTTTATTTTATTTAATTGTCATAAAAAAAAATGAGTTCATCAGTTATTTCAAACTCACATTATTTTAAACTAAATTAAATTCAATGTAATTTTCACACGATATTGTCAGAAATGAACCTTTAGATAATGTTTGTTATTTTAATATTATATAGAATTTATTTTTAATGTTCAAATGTAATCCTTTAAATATCTCAAAACAAGAAATATATGACTTATGTTAAACCACTTTCATAATTATGGGCACACAAATTAATTCAAAAATGATTCAACTCCCTCTCTTGGAATGATTATGCTACTTTTCGGCAATGATTGATAACGCATAACTTCATATACTTTACTTACTTATTTGTAAAATAATGTTGGAAAAAAATGATACTTCGATTGAACAATTTATCTTTCTCGCGAGTTCCCAATTAAAGAAGTCGATCAAACGTGCAGGAATACGCCGCGTACACGTTCCCATTGGATTTCTTTGTGCATCGAACGAACAGCTGAATACAAGTTGCTGGTCCTTCGTTGGTTGCTTATTCTCGGACCGTGTCGAATTAACGCGGCAATTTGTAAGAACCAATTTTAGCATCGAGTCGAAAGCAACCGGAGCACCTGGCGGCACCTTTCGCGTTTATAATTACCATAAACGCGACCGGACCAATGCTACTACCTCTCGTGAACGTCGAAAAACTTTCGATCAAACCTAAAAAAAAGACAGAAAAATAAAGACAGAGAGAAAGGGGAACTTTGACATTTGATAAAAGTGTGGAACACGTCTAAATCAGTTTGGCAAACATTTTACCTAAGAAATAATTACGAACTTTAGTTTCATATCAATGAAAAATCCACATAGTTATGCATTTTTTCGGTTCTGTTGTAACCTGTTTCTGCACTTTGTCTGTCGTAATCAACTAGAATTTGTAAAACTTCTATTTAAAACTTGATATTCGTATTATTAATTCATTGATACACGTTTCGTTCGAGACTGACAAATCAAAATAAAGAAAATTGGATGAAACATTTGTAATTTTTTCGGTTCTGTTGTAATCTGTTCCTGCACGTTGTCTGTCGTAATCAACCGAAATTTGTAAAACTTCTATTTAAAACTTTATATTAGTATTAAGACGAGACTGACAAATCAAAAAGAAAAAACAAAATTCCTAAAGAATTTTCATGACCGAAAATTCGATTCGATTCAATTCGAAAACAATATAAACTAATCGTGTATCACTTGAATTACTCAGAGAGAGAAAGAATTACTCACTTATACCTCTCAGTATTATACCTGGCATTGCAATCATAAAAAGTGCATTCATACGAAAAGTAAGAAGTCGTGATGGGGGGAGGAGAAAAAATAAATCTAGGCTGACACACGTGTGTGTAAATTCCCTAGTGAGAAATACGAATGGACGTTGTCACGACTCGTACACGTAACACATACATATATACGAAAAACAACAAAATAAATCAAGTAAAAAAGTATGAGGAGGAGGAGGAGGAGGAAGAGGATGATGAGTATGTGTTGTATATATATATATATATATATGTATGTATGTGTGTAAAAGAGAGTTGGTACTCGGATCGAAGGGACTGCACTTTATTCAGGTAGGATAACGACGGGCTTTGCCAGGCAGGTACCAGTTCCGGAGGAGTCCAAGAGGTCGGGGAGTGGCATCAGGAACGCCCTCGCTACCTTTCTCCCCTCCTCCTCCTCCCCCTCCCCTTCCCCATATCCTTCTTCTTCTTCTTCTTCTTCTTCTTTCCTGTTCTTCGTTCTCGACTTGGCCAGCCCTTCTTTAACTCCCTTCCACACTTCCCCTCCCCCTCCTCCTCATTCTCATCCTCCTTCTCATCCTCCTTCTCATCCTCCTCCTGCTCCTGTTCCTTTTCCTTTTCCTCTGCATTTAATTACTTTGCGTTGAAGCGAGCGTGCTCGTTTCACCGTGAACCACCATCACCACCACCACCCCTCACTCTTCTTCTTCGGCTTTGAAGACTCAAACGTCGAGGCAATTTACGAGGATCCTCATCGTCTCTTTCTTTCTTTCTTTATTTCTTTTCTCTTTTTTTTTTTTTTAATAATTTCTCGTTTGTTCACATAAATTTTTCATGAATTTTTTAACTCTTACCTTTTTACAATGTAATTGTTAATATTAACCTAATTATATTCTAATGGGGGATCGTTTTTCCATTCTTTATGTTATTTTTCTTCGATGATATTTTTTCTTATTTTTTTTCTTTTTTCTGTTTTTGTATTAATTTTCTCGCATATAATATGATTATCATTGGAGATCGCGTATTATTTTAACACATTACAGATTTTTCTAATAAAAGTTTTAAAAAATTAAGTAATAAGTATGTTAAATTCAATAAATAATTATCAAAGATCGTAACTAACATTAACCTTTACTTTGTCACTACAAAAATTATTATAACATTTTATTCTTACGGTGTGTGTTTCGACAAACCAAACTAAAAATTCCAATAAGAAGGACAAAGTTAGCAAACCAACAGCGGCAAATAATTAGCCTCTTGCAATAGGGGTCCCGTTTTATCGACTATAATTGCATAATTAACGTCATTGAGTTCTTTGTCGTTGATTTTATCTATATACACACACACACACATATATACATATACATATATTCAACATTGTATATACCGTATCCGTGTAATCGCGTTAACGTTTACGGAAATTAAATGCTAAAGCCTAGTGGTATGGTATGTTATAAATAGTATGTATGATAATCGAAGCAATCAGTTAAAAATTTTTAAATAATAATAATAATAATAATAATGACAAGAATATATAAGAAAGAAAAAAAAAAGAAAAAACTAAATAAAACAGTTGGACCGTGTGCAAGGAGTTTTCGATGAAGCTGCTTCGCGATTCGATTCGAGCAATATAATAAGTTCTTTCTATTGGTCGAACACAGAGGTAAAGGATCGAAGGAGATCGAAATAAATAAAGAAATAAATAAAGAAAGAGAGAGAGAGAGAGCAACGAAGCTCATTACTCGGCTATCTCGTCGTCGATCAACTCGAGCCTATTCGACGTACGGCGCGTGTGATTAATGAGCCGGGGCGACTGATATACACAAAAGCAACTCGATTTCTTTGCCCGTCCCGTATTCCCTGTTTCGTTCCTTCGTTCCTTCCTTCGTTCCTTCTCTTCTACCCAGATTTATCGAGAGAAAATGGAGATCTAAAAAGTCGCCGGCAAGATGGCGGTACCATGCTCAGAGGAAACAACACACTGTTTCTGTTGGTTGCCCTTTACTTACTTGCCCTCTTGCTTGCTTACTTGCTTGCTTGCTTGCTTTCTTGCTAGTTCTATCTTAGTCAACCCTAGGTTATACTTTTTACATTTTTTTTACAATTGTTTTATTCTTTTTCTTCAACCTTTTGCACATTTTTATTCTTTAGACATAGTAGAAAAAGGGTAGAAGGGGTATGGTAGCCATTAGAAAGTTTTTTGTGATAAAGATTAGATTGGTTATTACGATGTTGTGGTTTGGGAAGAGAATTGTTATGATTTTGTTAAGAATGTATTACTTAAATTGATAAAAAATATATTTATAAGATTATTTTTTCGGTTTGGAGAACAGGTTGAAAGGGGAATAGAATTGTTATGATTTTGTTATTAAGAATGTATCACTTAAATTGATAAAAAATTCGTAGACAGGATTGATAAGACAAATTAAGAATTAAATTATATGTTATTTCTTTTCTTTCCTTTTTTTTCGGTTAATTTTATTCGTGATAATGAAATTGTTTTCGTAAAAATTGTAGTCGCGATTTAAAAAATCAACGAATGAAATATATTTTTCGTGCCGATCGCGATCTATACTTACTGGGGAGACGAAAACAGGAATGAAAAAAAGAAAGAACATATTTCATTGATAAAAAAAAAGAAAAAGAAATGAGATGATGATGATGAAAACATGCGAGAAAAGTTAAAGAAGGATTATCATCGTGCGAGTTGTGCTTGTAGCAATTTGACGAAGCATGATGGATTTACACGCGGACCAGTTGTTCAAAGTTTATACAAGCGTTGAATAAATTATCATATCATATTGTTTCGAGAGCGTTAATATTCTATTGGGTGTGCCAATGAAATAACTTTGTAACAATGATCATCCTTAGATTGTTTTTTTAGATTCGTCAAGAAACAATAAACAATTTTCGAAAAATCGAACGAGAAGACGACAAATACAAAACAAAATACATTCTATTATTCATTGGAATTTATTATTATTAGGGAGTATACAATCAAACTTTGGATTACTTGATTGATTTCATAATAAAAACCGAAATCTTGCAATACAAATAGTATAATACTACAAAAGTATTCGTATTAGTACATAAATTACAAATTAACACTCGTTTCTTTTTTTTTACACACTTATATTAATATTTTATATTATATTTAGATATGAATATAAATAAATTCATTGTAATTATACATTTCTTATGATAACATTTTCTTTGATATACCAAAAAAGTGTGTTATAGATTACTAACACATTTATACAAATGGAATTATATGTTCGCGAACTACGAAATTCAATTGTATTTAAAATGTTATCAGAATCATTTCAAATTCGTATTCATTCTCAGCAAACTAGTTATTACCTATCGAAAGATAGTAAAATCGATTCGTTGGGTTAGTCGAGGTACGAGGAAATCGTATAATGGCCGTTCAATTTGTTCGACTCCGCCTTTATTCGACGTTATCTCATCGTTTGAAACTTTGAACTTTCAAATCTTCTTGGGCGTAAGGTTTTCGAACGATCACACACACACACACACACACACAGTAAAAGAGGGAGGAAATTTTTTCTTTTTTCATGGGAAATCTTTGAAAGGAAAATACAAAAAGAAAA